ATTCAATGAAGTTCAGTAGCTTTCCTCTTGAGTTTTTAAGTGAAATTTTCTCTCGAAATATTTCAAGAGGTATGGGAAATATTTCAAAATATATATAGTCCATTTCATCTAAAGTTATTTTTGCATTTTTTTCCATAGGGTAACGAAAAATTTCAGACAATGATTAGTTAAAGGAATTAATCTATTGTAGACTGTTATATAAAAACCTCATAATAATTGTCTTATTGTCATGTATTGGATATTTATATAGATGATTTCCAAAAAAGAATTATATATACATATATATGTATTTTATTTGCAGATGATTAATTATAGTATGAAAACTGATGGGGAAAAGCGTCGTCAAATTTCAGCATTAGCTGAGAAGCATTGTAAAATTAACTCTATATATAACTCAAAAGACAGACTTAACAAATATTTGTTTGTTAAGATTATAAACTTTGTTTCTCAACATCAGTACATAGTAAATAATAATAAATAATAATCATTAACATAAATAATAATAAATACAATAAATCCATTTGATGTTTCTTGAGAAAACGTGTTTTACCGCCATTGATAATTTTCTCAAAATTTTGCTATTTAATACCTTTGATAGAATTCTGTATTTATATGTTTTCTTTATAGTTAAATAATGTAATTGCAGTGTAACATTACTTTTATTCGTATCACATAATAAACTGCCGAAACCTAATATGTCTTGTTACTGGTGTGTTACTTTAACGCAGTATATTTGTTAAAAATCGAATCGTGTTAAATATAGTAAAAATAGTTATTCTTAAGGATGCAAATTAATAATTCTTTATAGTATGTTATTTTTATACTGAATGCTTGCAATGTAGTATAAGGTTCGTAAATGTTTTAATTTCTCTTGAATATTTGACACTTAAAATTATGCATATTTATACTACAGAAATTTATTATGCATATTTATACTCTATTATTATTATTTATACTATATTATTATGCTATATTATTTATTATTATTATGCTATATTATTTATATATTATTATGCTATTATTTATACTATATTATTATTATACTATATATTATTATATTATTACTATTATTATTATTATATTTTACTATTATGCATACTACAGAAAAATATTGTATTATCTTCTGGTTTTCAGGAAATGATAAAAATATTTAAACTTTAGAAAAGTCAAGGAATGCAAAATTTTTAAAAAGAAGAATATATATTCATCATTAAGCTTATTTTTTTTGCATAAATCAATACTTAACTAAAAGACAATACCGACGTTTTCACAACTGTTGCAAAAAGATGGAATTCTGCAAACTTTTGGCCGTCGTTAAGACGTCCTGATAGGATGCTTTCACAACCAAAATTACAATCCGAGAAAGACGCAATAACAACGCCCTATGCGACAAAAAACCTCATCTGCAAAGACGTAAAAAAGACATCAAAATAGTGGAGATTCGCGGACATGTGGGCGTCTTAAAGACGACATAATGCAACGTTTTTGCAACATGACTCGCGATGAGTTTGCAACGTCATTACGACATAGCTGTGCTATTTGAGAGTTAAATTAACTGAAGAAGAATTGAATAATGAGATAGAATCAAATATAAGCGTAACTGAGGGAAAAGAAAGTGAACCTCAGGCTTTTGTAAAATCACAGTATGGGAAATCATCTGATGGCAATCAGCATTCTGAGGTTAAAGATTCTGTGTTGCCTCAGCAAAGTGGATTACCAACTGCCGCTACTGAAAGGTCATATTACCAAATAGAAAGTTTGTCCTTATATACTGAGAAGAATCATCATATTCAAGAAGTATTATCTCTGCGAGGCAATTACATTTTTTGCAGCAATCGCAAATAGAAATTAATTCATCTTAGCCAATAACATCTTCTGGCCTTACATCTCAACATCGCACAACAAGGCCTAGTGAAATAACTTAGTACTGCCTAGCAGCATCTTTACAGTCACAGCAAGCTGCACAGAATATTGCACCCTCTGTCCCATTGCAGCCAACGAGCTAGGCCATTGATTTTGATCCTGCTCGTTCTATACCTACTCAAACATATACTAATCAAAGTTTTTTGTCAGTAGTCCATCCAACGATGGTCGCTCTAGTGTCTCAGAACTATGTCGTCGTGACTCTGTCTTAAGGAATTCCACCGCAGAATGTCCTATCATTAAAATGCTGAAATTATAAGTCACTGTATCCAGATGTCACACAACTAAAATTTATATTCTTGGAAGTTTAAATTTACTAATATTAGAATATTAAAATTTATATTTTTCTTTAAAATGCTTCATGAAAGCACTTGTACTTTTGGTCAGGTATCTAATTGTATTTGTTACAGATATGCCTGAATATCTTTGTCTTGTAAAAAAAATGTAATATATATAAACTGAAAATTTTTCTTTAAAGTTCCACAGAATTGAAACAAAAAAAAAAAAAAAAAAAAAAAATTCTCTGAAATGTTCCCCGTGAGGGAAGGAATTTAAGACTCTACGTATTTGCGTTGCTACGTTGCCAACATAATTCCACTAAGAAATATAAAGAAACCTCGCTCATAAAATATCCGTGCTTCAAGATGCACTCGCTTAAAAATGTTTTTCTGTTATTCTGTAAGTTTGAATAATAAAGTTGGTTGTTCGATTAAAATTGGCGAGATTTCTTTAAAACTTCATTACACTACGTACATACGCCACGAAAAAATCTCTTCAGAATTCATTTTAAATAAGTTTTATAATCTTTGGTGGAAAAAAAAAGAGTCCTTTAGTCTATCCTTACGTACAGATGTCATGCAAAAACATACTTAAATTGCGTTCGATAGCGGTCAAAACGGATATTTTCTCTGAAATATGATACTCGAAATTTTTCACGTTTACAATACTTTCTTTTCACTTCGTACAAGGAAATAAAAAATAGACTTAGCCGCACTGAAGCAACTTTTAAATTGTTGATAATTCTAAAACTCTTGCATTCAGGTTAACTAAAGGCATAAAATGCTTAACCAGAAGATAAGAACAACATAATTCAATCATTTTTAAAGCAAAAAATGCACAATTTACCAACATATAAGAATAAAAGGACCTAGATCACGGAGCCAAGTAAGAGAGTACTATATAGTAGATATATATATATATATATATATATATATACGTATATATTTACTAAATAAATATTGATTATATTATCTCCTAAGATTAATTTTAGTAGAAGTATCTTGAAAGAGTGACTATATTTTTGGTGCTGTCGATTGCCACCAAAATCGGAGATACACAACTACCTGCTATAACAGTCCTATGCAAAATTTCTACGGCTATGTGTTTTTGAGATATGCGAGATAAATACGTACACGTACGTTCAACCGATTCATTTCTTTTCAATTGCATTTCAACCGATTTAATCTGCAGGAAAATAAACGATGTAATAGTTGTCAGATTGATGGTGGTGCTAGGCATTTTGTGGTTGATTGTAGTTTATCAGCCCCTATTAGACATATTTTTAACATTACTAATGTTAATGTATTTATTAAGTTAATTTTAAAGTTTTTTAAATCATATAACATTGCTCTAATGAAGTTTATAAATGAAACTAGGGCGTTTGTAGGAATCATCTGTTAAAATTGAATTCTGTATTTATATGGGTTTTAGATATCGGTGGTGTTCTATAATGTGATTTTTATTAAATATACTGCAACATCTATGTTTGGTATACTCGTGTCCAGGTGAGCTGAAGTGAGACTCCGATTCTTACATGCACGTACGTACAGACGCCGTGAAAAAAATCTCTTCTGAATCCATTTTAAATCAGTTTTACAATTCGTTTGGAGAAAGAGTGCTTTATTCTGACCTTACGTTCAGATATTATGCAAAAACGTCGTTAAGTTGCTTTTGATAGCGGTCAGAATGAATATTATTTTCGTTGAAATATGGTACCCAGAATCTTTCGTGATTACAATAGTTCCTTTGCTTCGTACAAGGAAGTAAAAAGGAATACGCTTTTTCAAAAAAGATATATTGCAAAGACGACATTAAGTTACTTGCTGTACACATTTCATTCCAGTTTGTAAAATATGAGTTGTCAAAACAATCATATGATAGCTAAAAATCTAAAAATAACGAAAAAAAATGGTTAATTCAGATCAGATTTCTTTATAATTATGGAGAAATTATTGAAAATCATAAATCTAGTATATTCGCCATCAAAGAGAAATAAATAAATAACAATAATAGATAATTAAAGTTGAAAAGCAACGAGGAAAGAAAATAAAAATATTTCTGAAACAATTTAGATTTTAACAATCATACAAAACACCTCTTTCAAACGCTCATGTTGTTTATGAGATTGCTAACTGGCATGCAGCGAAATATTTTATAGGATATTAGATTAATATGGGCTTAGACTAAAATGGGAATATTATATTCCATCTGTATACTTAAAAAAAGGTCAAAATATATGTAATGAAAGCCTATAAAAATCTTTATTAAGTTTTTTATTTATCGTTTAATATATGTAGACTGGTTTTTTATAATTGCATTTTAATATTTAATGTTTATGGATTAGATATATCCTAAACTAAATGCAATTTTGTTTAAATCGATTAGATTAAAAAGTAAGTAAAGTGATATATTAAAGATCTGTATCTACTGCATTTAAATAGTTTTTTTAGTTTGTTCATCAATAGATAACAAGTAGATAAAATCTGAAATATCTCTTATTTTGCAGAATGGTAACAGGCTTGAATGAAAAGCGAAACACGGCAAAATCACGCTGCACTTTGAAACACTAATCTATTCAGCACTTTTGGGATAAAAATATATATATAAATTAAAAGTAATTAACTGTAATAAAAGGAATTAAAAATTAAATTAATGCATTCAAAAACGAACTGAAATAAAATTTGCATTAATTTTATATTCAATTCTTGCTATCAAATTTGTATTAAATGTACTGCTACATCTATGTTTGGTATTAACTATGTCATGATTTTTGTTCCTTAATTTCCTTTGCAAACTAGTTTGCTCTTTTAGGAGACCAAAAGTTTGATGAGGTTGATGACATTAGGACTTCAGTGTCTCGCCTCTTACAAAGAACATTGCTTACAGACGTAGAATTCCATGTATTTGTTGGAACATCAGAGAGAGTTTTTCCCGCTCACAAACTCATCCTTGCCTGCAGAAGTCCTATTCTAGCTGACAAATTCTACAAGGAAAAAGCTACTTATGTCATTTTTGAATCTGATGTCGGACCTTTAGGCATCGAACAAATGATTAGGTAAAATTAATTCAATTTTGTTTACAGAAACATTCGTGCAAATCATTTACAAGTAATTATACAACTCATAATAAAATTTTAACTTTAGAACTGGGCAAACCTAAACAACCTTGTTTAGAATTACCTTAAAAGAAATGCATTTGAAATTTTAATCATTGCAAGGTAAATATGATATTTTAAATTGGGGATGTGTTAGGTTTTTCTAAAAAATTAGTTCTATTATTAACCTTAATTTGATAATTACATTATTAATCAGAGTCTATGTCAACGGTTTTGATAAGATATGGTGAAAGAGAAAATTAGAGCATATTTGATTTTAACAGCAGCGAATGTTCGAAAGATTTGCGTAAATATGCAATTTTACAAAGCGTATTTGAATGAGTTTCTGAAAATTGCTGCGGATCCAGATGGTTGTGCGCAAATAAATCACGATTGACTATGTAAACATGTGCCATCTAGGCAGTATTTGAAGATGTCATCATCCTGAAGGGTATAAGAAGGTTTCATTTAAATGATATTCAAATAACTTATAATTTTCAGTGGATAATGTTTGATGATATTCGTGTTTCTTCGGTTAACAAAAGACGTGTAAAGCTGTTGTAAAATATGTGCAACGCCCTCGCCGGGACTGGAACCTGAATATATGGAATGCGCGACGAAGCCGCTTAGCGTTACACCACGAACGCATGCTGAAAGGAGGGAGAAAATACCTAATAGACGAATGGCAGATAGTGAGCGATGGCATGCTGTCGGATACATTGAAGCAGAATAGTCAGGCAAAGATATCACAAATTTCTATAATATTTATTATTCGGTTATTTCTCGACTCTGGAAACAACCTCAAACAAGTTAAAAGTTTTAATTTAGAAAATCAGAGTTATATTTTCAAATATTTCAACAAAAATTAGAGTATATTTTCAAGTAGGAAAATATAACGCTGATTTTTGTTGTTTGACTTCTATATTAATACTTGTTCGGCATGTTATTGTATCTTAAATTAAAAGTTGTTTGGAGACCTGCACTCGATCAACCAAAAATTGCAACCACTAAATAAAATCGCAGTGTTGTTATAGTCGCCAAGCAGAATCAATGACCTTCCTCCACTCTTGATACATCTGAGATTCCAGTGTCGCCTGATAAGAAAATACCCTTCAATACTCTGCGACTGACAGATTCACACGAAGGGACTAGAAGCCAAGTATAAAGTGTTTGTCGATCGAATTGTTCCAGTCTGGCGTAAGGTCCTTTACACGGGAATCAGACACAGAACATCAAAAATCACTCTTGCATAAAAGACAGCATCATAGTTTTGATGGTAATTTTAATGTTTTATTGCATCTAACTGATCATCTTTAATGACAGTTCTTTGACGGGCTGCGCGGTATCGGGATGAAGCCCTAACACCCGCTGTGAGGCGCTACGCTGCAACAGTTGATTCTGATTTCTGTTGCATAGATTATAATGTCCGTACCGATCGAGCCAGTATCGTTAACACCTATCTGAAGAGTGAGGCACTTTTCGCATGGAGTGTCCGGCGTATTCCCCCGACATTAATACCATTGAAAATCTTTGAGAGGCCATCGGATGGGCTGTCTCTGCATGTTTACTTCCAGCCAGCATCAGACAGCCCTGATGGAAGAATGGCACAATGTGCTGGCATCTACGGTGGTTGAACCCTCATTGAAAATACGGGAAATCGAATTAAAATTTGTTTCGAAGTCCCGGGTGCTCGCATAGGATATTAAGATCAGTTTGACTGTTTTAGTATAAAACATAAATTTATTAATGACACAAATCTGACGTTACATACAACTTATGAAAACTTAATTGCTTTTTCTCTTGGTATAAAATGCTTATTTTCCTTGATGCATAAATGCATTTGACATTTTCATGCGCAAACTGGCGTTAATCAGAAATTTACTTTTCCATTTTTGTTGATTTTTCCTTCAAATGGACCTTTGAACACCAGAGCAAATCTCGGCGAATCTCCGGTACACAGTGATATATACGTAATGGAAAAATACATGAAGCTGCAGGAAAATTGAAAAATTGCGTTGTTTTCAGATTTAGTTATAATAACAATTATCAGAAGACACACGTGCAATGTGAGAAGTAATTTCATTCTGTCTCTATGTTAAAATTTCCAGCTATTTATTAACAGCTGCAAGAACTCTAATAACATTAATTAACATGCTAATGATTTTTAAACTGAATTTCATAATATATAAGAATTCTACATTAAAAATATCAAAATTCCAGAAACTATGTACAAACAATTACGAACACCATGCATGAAAAAAAAATGAGACAGTTCGAAATCTGTCATTTTGCTGGGCCAACTGATGAGATTTAACTCACATTTTTCAGGTCTCAAAGCAGAACTAGGGATATATAGTAGATTTATATGTATTCATAGCATTTTTCTAACACAAGTATTCTGCTGGGCCAATGGACGACATTTAACACGCGTTTTTCATGCCTCGAAAGCGTGCTTAAGATATACAATAGATTCAAATATAGCAATTTTTCTTTTCTAACATATGTATTCTGACACAAAATTGTACATCTTCTAAAATGACATGCGGTTTTATGCATATTTCGATTCTATGTGTCAAATTATGCTAAACTGCCAAGTTTTGTAAGAATCTCGGAAGCCGGATTTAAAAAATTAGCTCTCAAAATTTTATCTTCTGAATGTTAATTGCATTGGCTATATATTTATTAACTGGTCTTTTTTTACACTTACATCAGTCATTATTCTAAATTCAGTAAAATAGAAATAAAATTTGGAGCTTTTTTCTCATATTTGTTGTAATTTGAAATTTTTAGAAATGCTCATAAATTTTTGGAAAACATGTATGAATTACCTATGAATGTTTTACTATTACCTTAAAGTACATGTATTTCTAAGTATACCCGCAAAACATTAGAGCCTTTCATTCAAAATTTCCCAAGACAAGCGTAAATTTATCTATTGATGCACTTTGAAATATACCATACTCGTCATATGCGATAATAAAGCAAAATGGGTTTTATTCATTCTGTTGAAATTAATCGTTAGAATAAACAATGCATATCCGTTTTCGTTCGTGAACAATTAAAGGAAAATAAGTTACCATAAATTACGATCTTCGCCAAGCGGCGAAATATCATTCTTGGCGCAAACTGAAAAAAAAGGCTCAAACATAAATTTTTAAATTTCTCGGTACGTTTCTCACCAAATTTTACAAAACTTAAAATATTTAGCCATGATTTGAGTCGTAGAATCGGAATATGGAAAAATATAGATATGCCATTTCAGAAAAAGTCCATTTTTGCGTGAGAATATCTACGTTAGAATACATATAGATGTAATATACATCCTAAATCGCGCATTCGAGACATGAAAAACGCAAATTAAATGTTCGTCAATCGGCCCAGTAAAACGAGAGATACAGAATTCTCCTGTTTTTTCCACAGTGTACCCCTTAACGTTCACCTTCAGAATGAAGTTTGAATCATATATATAATTAGTAAAACATGTTATACAATATATCTAGTAACACAATATAACTAGTAAATATAATGAGTAAAATATCATCAGTAAAACATGTTCTAAAGCCACATATTAAACATTTCCGTTATAAACGTTTTTATTGAATTTGTGTAAAGTTCTATAATAAAAATTAAAAACCACGGTTCACGCCTTTTTTTATAGATATATTTATTTGGATGACATTGACAGTTATTCTGCATTTGCTCTCAAAGAAGGGCTTGAAGCCTCATTGAAATACAGTATTAAATTCCTAGAAAGCCTTTGCATCTCCTGCCTCATGAACGTGGAGATCACCGGAGATAATTTATACGAAGTACTTGACGCTGCTGACAGAGTAAAACACGACGAAATTCGTCAGAGATGCCTAAATATTCTTATGAATGATACTGAAACGGTGCTGAATTCTCCTGCTCTAAGACACGCAAGTTTGAATACTCTGCTTCTTATATTTCAGCTGCCGGAATTAAATATTGAAAGTGAAGTTTGGCTGCTCGAAGCTGCCATCGTATGGTTACAGCATAACCGAAACAGTTCATCAAGGAATAAACTGTTGTCCTGCATAGACATAATGGCCTTAGATGTCGATGAATTTTTAGCGGTCACCAAAAATTTCCAAGTTTTTTTACCGATAGAGAAATTGTCAGCATTCTTTCAAATATTCGACATTTCGGATCGCCAGATTTGCCTGCATTTTACGTAACTCGTAAAACCAAAAGGAAGTTTTTGAAAGCTAAATGTAAACCTAACGTGATTTCTAACCTGGGAGTTAGTAACAGTGCTACGCAGACATCGGAATTTTATAATGTTGGATAAAGGTACGGGAATTTCTCCCGATGAGGCGTATTTCTTTCCAGTCCAGAAAACTGCATCTGTACAAACCGCGTTACATGCAACGCTAGAAAAAAACATGGAAATTTCTGAAGAGGAGGTTTATGTGTTTCACTCAACGGAATCTCTGACCACAGGAACGCAAACTACAGTAGTTTCAACATTAGATGGATGTTCGCAAGTTTCTAAATCTGAGGCTGTTTTGTTCAATAGAAAAGAGACAGTAAACAAAGAATTTCAAACCACATCTACTACTACACCAAACCGAAGTTTTCAAACGTCTGATCGTATCCTGAGATTAAATCAAAATACCCAGATGCGTAAAACTGATTTCGAGATGTTTATGTCCAGTAAAACACACGATACAGAAGTGCAACGGACATTTTTTGCAGCAAATCAGGAAAGCAGCCCAGCTCTTGATGTCGGCCAGCTCTTGTCCTATAATTTTGATAAAACCGAAAACGAGAACACGCCTACTTCATGGCCATCTTTACCAGGGAAAAGTCACGCTAATGCCGAATGGAAAGCTCCTAAAAATGTTCGGGATGAAAGAATTCGAATTAATTTTGAAGATAAATCAAGAGATGTACTTCCTCCCTCGAAAGAAACATCGAGGAAGATTAATGACATGGTATCAATTTCCAGTAAAGAAGACATCTCAGATAAAATGGTATGTTTGTTTATTTCGTTATTTCTATATCATATTTTTACGTTTGTTTTACTCTACGTACGTGCAATGGTAAGAAATCCGAATTCATTTCTACACACAGACACTTACTGAAATATATATATATATTAAATTCAAACGGAAACTCCCCAGCCTTTAAAATCGTATATCTAAACTTACATTTAGGATGGCATAACACGTCCCCAGTAACCGACGTTCGAATTGTTACATAGGAGTTTAAAATTTTCAATTAAGAATAGCAAAAATTCAAATACATCCTTTCTATAGGCCTGAGCATTCACGGTTCCATCTGGAAAGAATGGAGATTTTTTCGTCCACCCCAAAGAGATACCACTCGAAACACAGACACTGCTTCCTCGCTATGCATCTCCTTCACGTTTGTTTAGTGAATAGCGGGTTACGGGAAATAACGCCTACTACTACTTTGGAGGCTAAACCTAAACTCATCCGTAAAGGGAACAGTTGATCACCAATTGATCAGACGTCCAATGGACATATTGACGTGTCCACTTCAAACGTTACCTTGTCATGTGACGCGAGCGACCCGTAAATGGCTTGTCCCCCTTTACGTGCAGACCTCCTTTGTAAAGTCTTCTACGGATGGTTGACTTTGATACTCCCCTTCTGTTGACTGCAGCAAGTAAGGATCTCAGATGAATCTGAGTTGCTGTTCTATTATTTCGTGCCCATAATAGCAAACATCGGTCATCGGCATTAGTCTTAAGAGTTGGCCGTCTATGGCTGAATCTCCTTCATGCCGAATCTGTGATTCAAAATTTCTGCCAAAGTCTATGAACGACAAAATGACACACATTTAGCCATCATGTCATTTCTGTTTGACATTGCATTGCCTCTAGTCTACCAATAACTCTCCATCACAGTTCTTCGGGCAACTGATGCCTGGATCTCATTATTACAAATTGGCTGTGTCAGATTTCTTACCTCAGTATCACAAATTTTCCTGAAATTTTACAGGAACATTTGCAGGCTTGCTCTCGAACATACAATTTTTGCTCCTCCAAGGAGACCCATTCCGATCGCAGCTCCACTAATTTTCATATTATACTTTTACTCAAAAATACTTATTTCACAACATACTTAAATTTTATACGGATTGCCCTTTTTTTGAATGAGTTATCGTTATTTTTGTGAATTTTTGTTAATTTGGGGAAGCAGTGTATTTTCGGTGCAGTAGAGAGAATCTGCTAAGTTTTCTTCAATTTCTTTCTAAAATTTTATTACAGTATGTACAATGCCAATACAATAATTTTGATTTCATATATTCTACAGCAAATATTTATTTATTTTTTAACTAGTCATCTGAATTCGGCCCAGTTAACAGAATTCGAATTGACCTCATTGGAGAACCTAGCAAAAAAGAGGAATTGAGTAAGTTACTCTAGTTTTGTTCCACTTTAAATTTTATGGAACAGAAGTTTACATTACCCTAATTAATAATGTAAAAGTTATCATGGCACACATCTCTATTTACTGAAGTATGAAAAAAAATAGTATGATTTTTGATGTATTGTTAAATGTAGGACTTTGTTTAACAAAATTTGTTTGTAATGAGGTAACCCTGTCAGCAGCATACCAGTTAAAATTTCTAGACGTTACGTTCGATTTTCCTAGTTCGTTAAGAAACCAGTAGTTTTAATAGTAAAACTCTAATCAAGTTGATTATTGAGTAACTTAAATTATAATTTCTCCCATCCACAAGCTTCACAAGATCCTCCAAATTTTCAAAAGACTAGTTTCGATGGTTTTTACCGAACCATCAATCACAGCTGCCAATGTGCAAATGGAAAAAGATAAGATATAGTGAAATGATACGATAATAATGTGTGAGCAGGAGTTAAGCCACTAGTGCTATCTATTTATGAAACAACTAAAACATTGTTTCCTGAAAAACTGAAGGTAAAGTTGGATTGGAATTAGAGCCATTAATTTGAAGAGAAAGATTTCTTTGAATATAAAACACCTCTAGAAAATCTAATTCACAAATGGAAGATGTTTTTTGGATACTTTTGGCTGCAGAAAAAGATAAAATGTGATATTCAGACAAACAATGCTGGGCAACAGGGGACTTCTGTGTTTCTTTTTTCCTAACATATGATTTATGTCTTTAACGAAAAATTTTAAGACTATCTTAGTTTAACCGATGTAAATTAAACTACACTGGCAAGGAATCCTGAGTACCACATGAATTCATATCCGGAAAGGGGGCCTTAAGTATGAAACTCGTAATATTATTGATTGGAGAATAAACGACCCGAAAATTAAATTTCTGTAAAATACGTGCAATTTTATAACTAATTTATAGAAAGGAAGGAATGAACAGAATTCTTATAATCGCCTAAAACAAGAGTGTGCCTCTTGGTGTGTTGAAATAAGAATTTTTTAACTGCTTGGTTAAAAATGTTGGGTGAAAAGCCCCTGTGAATAGCAACATGAAGCTAACTTTCGGTAAACCATCGAAACTAGTCCCGCGAAAATTTGCAAATATTCCCTGATTTTTGTTGTTTGATTTCTAAATTAATAGAATTAGGTTAGTTTCTTATTTTCGATCTTAAGTTAAAGCCCAAGCGGAGGCTTTCCTGTAAGCTCTAGAGGGGCCGTATGTTAGCATTTCTTTTTGTGAATAAATGAGTATTTTAACCCTTCTTTGGGCTTGTATTTATAATTTTAAGAAGAACAGAGAATAGACACGGTTCTAGTAAACAAGGACACGTAAATTAACTACAACTTTATAAGGTTCTCATTTCAGTTTCGAATTAGCTATGTCATCTTCGTTAGGTAAAAGTCATATGATGTGGATCACTCTAGAAATGACTCGAGTAGAGAAAGATATATTACTATTTTTAGAATATACAGAGCCGAATTATGGGGCTTTTGCTAATTTACGTATTACTTTGATTTGTGTATTTTTACCTTATGTATATATGACCAGAGGAAAAGAAAAATTGTATTAAATTTTACTTATGCAAACTTTTGTTTTTAATAATTTAGCGTAGGTATTCCTTTTAAATTTCAGAAATCAAATTTACTGTATATAACGGAATAGAGATTCAAGAATTAATTACTTACTACACGCTTTTGGAAGAATCGAGTACATTTTTTGCTCAGCTCTTCGATGATGGGCATTATTCAATGAAGCTGTCAAGTGTAAAGCTTGATGATTTGAGTTTCAATGGATTATCCTATATGATAAGTTAAGAAGATGAGAGTAAAACAAAACTTTTCTCCTCAAATTGCAGATAGGAGGGTGTGTGTGTGTATGCGTGGGCGTGTAAAAAAACCTGTGTTTTCAAAGCAGAAAATGCAACCATCAAACTCAAAGGATATCCTAACTGTCACTAGATATTCGCTGTTTTATGAGAAATATTTTTGTACCATCAATATAGTAGTAGTGTGTAGTATTTGCCTTCGAAAGGGCAGTTGCTGCCAATTATGTTCCGCTTTAAGTTTTAATTTTACCAAAGTCATGACTTTCGACTATATCCCAAAAGTTTTAGCATTATTTCATTACGGTGAACAGGATGGATACTTGGCTGATTTTTGTTTTTTCCTAGGCTTTTTGAGGTTAATTTTAAGTTGTTTAACCCGTTATTTTATGTTTTTGATTTTTTACTGCCAGTTCTCTCTTCCCGGTTTCTCGACAGAATGCAAATTAATTCGAGTGCATGTAAGTAAGAGTTTGGATTGTTAAGTCAAGAGCATGTTCTGCCTCTTGAAGGCTACGTTACTAGGTTTGCTCTTCTTGGAAAGACTTCCTGTCTTTGGCGTTACATTACTTTTTGCCGATAGTTCAATTCACGCCTGTAAAGTACGAGCCAACTTCGCGATTAAATTACTTTGTATAGTCTTTGACTATTAGATATTTAAAAATAGCTTTACATTTGAATTGCTAGTTGAGTGTCTCGGTATAAGTGCTGGTAGACGTTGTAAGCAACAGCTGTGCCTTCTGTAAATCCATTTTACTTTTTTTTTTGGCTGTTTTACAGGCTTCTAAATTTCTGTTGTACTTAAGACATACCGATAAGACGCATTACGTCTGTCAAAGGTTGGATTACAGTTTAGAGTATTGAAAGAGGTTAAATCTTATAGCTTAAAACCAGATACGAGCCAATTTCCCCGACATCCTCCACGAAGTCATTTCCCTAGTGAACCAGAAAGTTTTCGTTTGTATTGTTGTATTGGGATAAACAAACTACCTATTTAACATGGCAATATAAAAGAAATGAGACTGTTCGAGGTTTTTATTCCGTGCTGAAACTTTGTGAAAAATCATTAAGAGAGTATATTTAGAAATAAAGAAAAGCAATCTTTCCTTGAAGTTGTTAAAGCCATTTACAAATTACTCAAATAAATACACAATTCATAAATTTTCTAGACTCATAAATTGATAAAATGTTTTGCTACTGAAATCCTATTACCTTTAAAAGCATCAGAACTACAAGAGCAATATGCACCAAATTACATCTGTGTACTAAATGTTAGCGAAAACATCATGCCACACGACGGAAACTTGGAACAGCTGAAGTTGATTGTCAGAAAATTTTAGTTCTACAGAAGAAAGGCATGGTGTATAATCACTCGGGATAGTATAATTTTTGTAGTGCTGCAAAATATGCTAAAGTACCTTTCGAGTAAAGGACGCTTAAGCAGATAAGCATAAGTAACTTCGATCAGAAGTAGATTTTCCGAAATGTCCCATTCATCCTATTATCCATCATATTCCTTACTTTCTGAGAGCCCACCAGCGGCCGAGCGGTAATGTCGCTGAACACTGGTAGTTCGGTCTGAGGTTCGAATCCCGCGAACGGGCTGGCTGCACGGGAGTTTTCATGTTTTTCCTCATGTGTAACGGGTATACGAGCCAGTTTCCCTTAAAAGGTCCTCCACGAAGGCATCCCTCCCCTTAGGCAGATAGCCCTAGTGTGCTTTGCCATAACCAATACAACACCACACCACCTTACTTTCTGATGACTCTATTCTATTTAAGCAAGATGAAACGTAGTCAGTGTTATTAGACAATTCAAGCTAACCAAAACGACTCGACGGCCTTTTGTCATCCCCACCAAAACATGCATTTTACCAATGCTTTGAGAAACTCTGAAACAAAATATAAGCGTTCTGATGGACTAGAATGGTGACCACATTTCTACGTAAAATTTTATTTTACCTTAAACTCGCCTTCCGTATTGAACTCGAATTCTAGCAATTGTTGTTAAAACAATTTATAATTAATAGTGTATAGGAACACACAACACAAGCACAGAAGGAAGTTAAAATATATAAGGTGAAGCTTGAAAGCTCATGAAAAGTTAAAATTAGACATTTGCGGCGACCACTGAAGACCACTTCTGAAGCAGGTTTAGTTTTGGTTTATTCCGTTACGGAAAATACTCGATGGTATTCGGTCTAAGGGAGTTGGAACACTTCAAGGAAGACTTTCTAAGTGAAACTAGCTTGTATACAATTTACACGTAGGGGAAACCATGAAAACACCTATGTACCCAGCCCTTTCCGGGATTCGAACCTCGGAACGAACTACCAGTGTTTAGCAACTTTACCGCTTGGCTGCTAGTGGGCCTATTTTGAGGCAGGAGACATGAAAATTGAGCAATGCCCTTGCCGGGACTCGAACCTACACATCTCGAATATGCGCCGAGGGTGCTACGTAACCATGAAGGCATGCTGGGAAGAGAGAGAAAATACCTCATATCACACAATGATAAGAAAATTATGCATGTATCAAGAGATTTAAGAGATCAGCAATGTGTCTTCCTCAAAGCCTCTCTATTTCAGTCTGGGTGACGGAACAATGGTCCTGTTGCTCCTCTGTATGTTTTCAAATATAATGAATCAGAGAACGTAAAATTTAACTGAAAAATAAAGAGGGCGTAACTAATGTTTTAATGACTAACGTGACGGGCGTGACTAACGTAATTTTTTCTAATTTAGTCTTTACATAGTTTCAGACAGATTAAGAAGTGAGAATGCTCTAAACTCCCGACTAGAGAGACTACAGCAGCAAGATCCTCACAAAATGAGGGTAACAACGTTACTCACAATAATTATTCATCTGCCTTCAATGTCAGTGTGTATTGTTAATAAAGCTTTTCATAGATTTATAATAAATGTGGTTTAGTTCTACGCGCATTAAGTAATACGCATGCTAAAAAAATCGCAACATGTTAGAAGGTATTTCTCCCGCCTTCATAGCGTGCTTTGGTGGTGTAGTGGTCTGCACGCTAGTCCGCATATTCCAGAGGTCCGTGGCTCAATTTCCAGCGAAGGCGTTGCACATTTTTTATGACTCCAGCTTCCAAAAAATACCTAATGTATCTACAATGTTATGAAATCGTACATGCAGTCGCCCCATC